CGGGGCCACCGGGCCCCCCCCCCACGGCCAAGACTCCAGGCGGCCGCCAAGCCTCCGGATTTCTGTCAAGGGCATGTGGGGAAAGGCCTGTGGGTGTGTTTTTATTCCTGTTCCTCCTGCTGTGAGTGAAATGGGGCGCCTGCTTCTAGCGCCTGGAAGTTCTGTTTTGGCAGAGGGCTGTGCATAGGAGATGCAGGGAAGGCATTTATGGAAAACACGAATTGGGGCTGAAAATTCACACCTAATGGTTTATTTTAAACCTAGGTTGGGAGTACCCCCAATCACAGGGCAGAAGCAAATACCAATATTTTCTGGAAGAATCTGGACTTGCCAGGAAAATTTGGAGGTAAAGTTCCAAGAAATATAAACTCACAGCCAAAAAATCATAAATTCACCAGGAAACAACCCATCACGAATGAGTCAGCAGAAAGAACGGACTGAAGAATCAGACCTACTGAGTCTTCAGGTATTGATATTATTAATTAGAGAATATAAGTTAATATGCTTAAAAAATAAAATGGGTTGCAAACGTGATGAACGCAAGCTACAAAGATCCAGCAAATTAGAAAAAACATAGAACTTACAGAATTAAAGATCATAATTTACTGAAATTAAAAATTGAAATTTAACAATACCTTTGAAACAGCTAATAAAGAGTTCATCACCTGAGAAGCAGCCCTGACAACGGACCTGGGGCGGCCTGGCCACACCCCAGCTGAGGCTGCCACCTGCCCGACCTAGGGAAGTGCTCGTCAGGTCTGCTCGTCCATGTGCCGGGACCTGTATGCCAGGGTTTTTTTTTTCCACGAGCACCTGTGCCTGCTCTTTGGCCACCTGTGATCTTGACGGGGGGACTGCAGGACCAGCTTCCCGGCCCTGTGGGGAGATGCCAGTGGGCGCTCATGCCCCTGCGTGGGCCCCTTCCCTCCACCCCCGCGGTCCTTCCTCGGGGAGGCCGCCGGCTGGAGATCCCTTTCCAGAACTGACCACCCTGCCCAGGCGCCCGTGAGTCAGCCTTCTCTGGCCTCACCGCCTCGAGGGGTATGCTCAGAGTCAGGGGGCGGGAGAGTGACCCAGAATCTCTTGAAAGGCCCTGAGCCTTCGATGATAGTATCCCGCCAGCTGCCCACTGGAGGCACCAAGACTCCGCAAACCTCTGTGAAGACAACGCAGAAAACACAGCATTCCCGCGGCATCCCCACTTGACCCCCGTCCAGTTCAACAGAGGACCAGCGGCCAGAGAGGCCAACAAGCTGCGTCTGTGTCAGGTGTCCACAGAGCACGCTGGCAGATGGCCACACAGGGGAAGGCCGGTTCCCGATCTCAGGCCCGGAGCACGTGTCAGGTCATTCTGGAGTTCCGGCATCTCCCATCGCTGAGACCCCAGGGGCAACGGCCGGCCACTCCCCAAGGGAGAGAGGTGAGGGTGGCAGAGGCCTGGTCCTGGTGGCCACAGCAGGAGGTGAGAACACAGCTCGCCAATGACACGTCCGTAGAAGGCTCCTGGTCCTGCCCTGGAGGCTCCCGCAGGCCTGCAGGCCTGTCGCAGCGGTCACTGGTGTTTATTTCTTTTCTTGGTGCTTTTAAATCCGCGCGACGCACCTTGACCAAAACAGATGGTAGGAGGTATTCTGAAACAGAAAACATCTTCAGACTAGTGTCGTACCTTTTGCCAACAAGCAGCCCAGTTCACACCAGCGGTCTGGTGCAGGTCTCCTCCCTGTTCCAGATGCTGCCTCTCTCACCGTGGAACATTCCAGATGGCGGCTCTCCCTTCATGCAGGCTCTGCCCCCGGGTCCTGGGATGCCTCTGCCCTGCTCCCTGCGGGAGACTGGCCCGGACAGCAGGCTCCGAGAACTCAGCTCCAGCCAAACTCCCCAGGGTTGACCTCCCGTCGCCCTCCATGCGATGAAAACCTAACTGCCCACCGAACCCAGGTGGCTGAGCAAAGGCAGGAGTCCTTCTTCCTATTGGTCTGGACTTGGCAATTTTTCTCATTTTGCAATATTTTCCCCCAAATTAGATCTGGGTCAATTTTCCCCCAATAAGAACAGTTAATACTCGACAGAGGGACTCACATATTGTAACTCAAGCAGCTATGACCAAGGTCCTTTCTAGCCCAGTTCAGGTGCAAAGGGGGCTGTGCTTTGCACACTGTGCTGCGGGCTCCCAAAAGTGGAGTCTGCAGCAGGAACCACGTCACCCGAGGGAACCGGGAGCAGCCAGCCTCCTGCTCCCGCCCAGAGCAGACCCCGCAGCACCAGCCTCTCCCAGGGGCATGCCGGCCGCCAGACCCAGAGCCTCCCGTGAAGCACGCAGTCAGACCTTGCGTCAGAGGTGCCGGCTGCTGACCTGTGACTGTAGGTCCGCCTCTCGCCCGTGAGCTCTGCAGGGGGCGCTGCGTGTTCAGAGCAGACTTCCATGGGGTCCCCTTCCAACTGCTCCCCATGCGCCCCCAGGGCTTCTGCTGACACTGGCAGGGTGGACAGCTGCAGGGCGGCTGTGGGCGTGGCTGGGCTGCAGAAGGCAAGGTGTGGGGGGCGGCTCTGTGTAGTGGCGGCCGCTACAGCCCGTCCACCACCAGAAATGAACTCTTCAGGAAAAGACAATTTTTACTTGCAAAGAAATTTTATAACTATCTTGGCACAGTGCGATTTTCAGGCATCGGGACAAGGAGAAAGATTACAATGAAGTCTTAAGTGTATGTGTACGTGGTAAAGGCCACATTTCATAAATTATGTGTAACAACTACACTTTGTCTTTTGAAAATAGTGTCACGTGGTAAATGCCAACTAAGATTACTACGTGTCTTTTCCTGACGATCAGCGAGAAATCTGCTACAGTTAACTGCACAATAACTGAGAGACTCCCACGTAATATCAACATCTCGACCCAGCATCGTAGAGTCTTTTTCCTTAAAACGAGCACTCAGAAAGGAAGGAGTTCACTCATGCTCAGAGATTTATAAAGACCTCCCATGCTGCAGAGAGTTCTCGCAATTATTTTACTTTAAACTGCAAAGTCCTGTTTGAAGAAAACAAGCTAATCTGAGAAAACTTCAATTAAGGCAAATTTTAAATGGTTATGAAAGTTCATTGCAACAATTAGAAAAAAAAAAGGAAATAAATATAACACAAATTGAAGAATCATTCTCAGAAGCGTTTCTCCACAGTGCACGCTGAACAGTAACGGGTAACAAACAGTTTTGTTAACAAGTTCGTAAATATGACAACAGGACGGATGAAAAACCAGAGGGCCCCACAGGATGGGGCTCATGGCCTGACCCAAGTTCCCAAAGGCCCCTATTAGAAGGTGACGTGGGAGTGGAGCTGATGTGCCGGGCACAGGTGAGGTACAACCTCATGACCTCTTGACCTCTGAGTGCCAAAACAGTGATGTCCCTAAGTGCTCGAGGGACGATGCTGCGATGGCACCACAGTCGCCTCCAGCCCAGAGTCTGGAGGTCAGGTCCCCGCCTTTCCCCTCTCTGGTGGGGGGATGCGGGAGGCACATGCAGAACTCGCCTTTATCTGTTTAACCCACCTGACTTGTCAAGGTTCCCGTTGCCTGCAGCCAAGTACAACATTGTGACACGGATGCTGAACTTCGATGCCTGCACCCCTAAGATCTATATACTCAAAACAGTTGTTCTAAGTTCTAGGGGTAGCCGCATTCCGCAGTGTGGGCATCACACCGCCTCACGTACCCTCTGCTTTTCTTCGGCTTATCAAACCGGAAGTCCGCAGGGTAGAGGTGACGTCTCACCAGGTGATCCTTCCTGTCTTTGCTGGTCTTGAACTTCTCTGCGCAGCCTTCTACCAAGCACTGATACTGAAAGAGAAATGGTGTCACCTCCATCCCGACTCTGAGTCCTCCTCCCCACCTGGATAAGCATGGGGCTGGGGGCCGGAAGGAGTCCCCTGGCCTTGCCCACAGCCCCGAGAGCTGGGAGCTCTGACAACTAGGCAGACAGCTCTGGTGTGATCCCGCTGGGCTGATGGCTCCGCCCACCATGTCCTGCCTCTCCGACAGGATCTGGAACAAGGAGTCATGCCACTCCAGGATGTGGATGTCCAGCAGGTGTCCTGAAGGGAAGGCCCGCTTGCAAAAGGAGCACACGTTTCTGTGCAGAGTGTGGTAATGATGCTCATAATCCTCCAGGACTTCAAACACCTGGCAGCAGCCCGCCACCTGACAGGTGAACTCCGGCACCCTGGCAAAGGAAACTGCTGCTGACAAAGAACATCTGGCTTCCCGGACAACTCCCCTTCAAGTGGCTGGATGAGACTTTGGACGTTGCGACCCCGAATCTTATTTTAAGAATATTAGGCAGTGGGCAGGCCAACCAAGTGGGGCTTGGACAGTGGTCCCGGCAGAGGGCAGTGTGACAGGTCACCAGGGAGGCGCAGCTCGGGGAAGGGTGGCCAGGGCCAGGAAAGGGGAGAAGTGGGGGCCGAAGAGGGGCGGCGCTGGACCTAGAGCCGCTCACCTGGGCCGCTCGGGCGCCTCGGCCACCTGTGTGAACACGTCCTGGAGGTAGAGGTGCCGCTGCACGTCCCCGTCCTGCAGGATACGCACGCCTTGGGCCCACAGCACAGACCTGGTCTGCCCCGACTCCGGTCTACCCAGCCTCAGCCCCGCCCCACAACGGTAAGTCCCGCCCGCCTCGGCCCCGCCCCTCGGCAACCGCCCTCTCCTTCCTCGGCCCGCGCACCTCGAAGAACTCGTGTTCCCGCGGGAAGCGCACTCGACGCGCCGCAAAGCGGAAGGGTTTGGTCCCGGCCGCGGGGTCCCGCTCCACGGGAAGCGGATCAGGGGCCCCAGGTCCCGCCCCCAGG